AAAGAGTTTTGTAGAGAGAGGGAAAAGTTTGTTCACCTTCTGAAGCAAGGGACAGAGAGGTAGTTGGAGGAACTGCATTATTTTTTACTGGAGTGTCTGGCTATAGTTAAGGGGTGGGATAAAGATTCTGTGTGAGGAGCAGAGAGCAGTGACTAGACTCCAAAGGGTCCATGCTAAGGAATCTGTGCTTAGCTGCAATGCTGGTACAGATGAAAATATCAAGCAGTGGAACACTGCAATTCCACGTGAGACAAGTAGAAATGGCAGGGTGTGGATAGTCAGGAAGATGGGGCAGGGGAGGGGGAGCCACAGCACAGAACAGAAACCGTAATGCTCCATGCAGTTGAAAATCCAAATGGCTCATGAGCAACTGGACATCAAAGATGAGTCCCTAGTTTCTAGCCTGTGCTGCAGAAGGGGTGGAATGAGACAATCTGGAGAGAAAGAGGGTTCGTGGTTAGCTCCCCATGGTACTGCCTTCCCATACCTCACCCCTACACCCTGATTCTGCTGTGTCCTTTATGAGCCTCCCTACAGACAGCCTCAGACTTCTCTGATCATGCTGTTAACCAGCTGCCCTATGTACATATACGTGATAACACACCTAAGACACACTCAAGGGATAGACCTATGGTATGTGAGGAAAGGGATTCATTTTTCAAAGTTTCAGGCAGCCAGTTCTGTCCACACTGAACTCTGGGCCTCTTACCCTAGGCCTGGGATTGCCCACATGTGTTACCATCCTAAGTTTAGATTTTCATCCTAAATATTATATTCCTTCTTTCACCCCAGTACATTCAACATTGTTTTATTGGGTTACCAGAAAAGTTATGATGCACTTTAGCATCGAAAAACACATCCTAACTTTTCCGACAACCCAGTGTATTTCACTTTATTGTATTTCTACTTAAAATCCCTAGATTTGGCTCGTGGGAAATAAACAAATATTTCTATCAGGTACCATGTATCTTTCCTGGGTCACCCCCACTGAGCAAAGGCTCTTGAGCAGCCACATCGTCAAACCTGGCTGTACACATCAACTTGAGATCTCTGCACTGCCCACAGCCGGGAGGACCTTCTTCTCAAATAGTTGGAACCTTTATGTTCCCAGGGCAACACCATATCTAGAATTAAATCACAGGTTGGAATTACTTTATATGCTTAACCATCAAGTGAAGTGAGTATGCTAACATCCTGGGCTAGAGAAGAAGGGAAAAAAGAACGAGACTACAACGTCGGTGGGTGCAACTTGTTTCTTGTAAACAGAAACATCAGTATAGCCATTTCTTTCTTGCATGGACTCAAATTTATACCTACTATAATGAAGAGTATGAGTTTATATGCCAAATTTGTAATTAGTTTTAATGGCAGAGAGTAGAAAAGACTTTCATACATTGAAAAACAACTAAAAGTTCCTTACACATTTAAATGTGTGTTTACTTACATAGTCTCAATACCCAGAATTGTCTATGCTGTAAATAGCTTGGAAAGGCAAAAGAGTCATTTGGAGGGAAGAAAAAAAGAAAGAAAGAAAGAAAAGAAAAGAAAGGTTGATAGTTTAAATGGGTACTTTATACTAGGTGTTTCGCTAAAATTTTAAATGTGTTGCCTTTCGTAAGCTTAGTACTAACTGCTAGCCATACCTTGAACCTTTGCCTTGTGGGTCCACAATAACTGAATTGATATCTCAGAATTGGCTATTTACATTCATTTTTATAGGAAAACACCCAATAAGCCATTTCCCAAGCTTAACAGATCCCCAATGCTGATTTCAAATTAACTGTGCTGATTTAAAATCAAGATGAGATATTTTGCAGGTTAAAGAGTGATAGAAACTTTGTTTCATCAATTCATTTTCTAGCCAATGGAAGAAATAATAATCATATTTATTTTTGTCAGCAAGTTCTTCCCTTGTAAAGGGAAAAAAATCTTCTAGGAGTTCCTAGGAGAAACTCTTAGCAGCACAATAATGAAAAAAGCAGGGGAAAAAAAAAAAAAAAAAAAAAAAAAAAAAAAGATAATGTCAATGAATAACATGAAATGAATTGTGTTCCCCCTGTTCTTTGTAACATCATCATAACCCTGACTGGACCCGGATATCAAATATGCTATTGATTATTCCAGATGAGTGAAGCGGAGATCAATGGGCAGTTCGAGTCGGTGTGTGAATCCGTCTTTAGTGAAGTAGAATCTCAGGCCATGGATGCCCTTGACCTCCCTGGGTGTTTCCGAACGAGGAGTCACAGTTACCTTCGAGCCATTCAAGCTGGCTACTCCCAAGATGATGAATGTATTCCCACGATGACCCCCGCCAACATCGCCTCAACCATCAGGTCAACAGCAGGTAAAAGAACGCCCTTTTTGACATCTGAATCGGAAAACCCACAGGTGTGCATAAGTCTTTCTCCTTGAAGGAGCAGAGTGCACCTTTACCACAGGTATAATTTACTCACCAGACATGTGGGGACTTTTCCAATATGCATTTATTACATTGTCACATTTGCAATGGTGTTTTGAAACATTTGTCTTTTATGGATAACCTTTCTTTCTTCTTAGAGTAAAATCTGTTAATTATCAAGGTTCTTTAAAATAATCAGGTATAACCTCTGTAAAATTTTATATAGGGGGAAAAACTAAGTGCTGACATTTGGAAGGTGATTATGTTTTAAATATCAAAGTTGAATAGATTGCGGTGAAATTTCATTTGACGTGCAAAGACTTCTGAGCTGCTTCATGACAGGATCCAGCCTGAATCTCTGCTGCTCGGTAAGCAGATCTATAAATACGATTCATTGCTGCAAAGCAAATCAATCGTTAATATAAATTCACTAATCGTCTTAGGGCTCTATTCAGTGTCACAGTTTTCTTCACTTCTTATGGAAAGCCACAGACACCTTGGAAAATTTACCACCTAAACTAAATATCACTGTCTAATATTTTACTGCACTGTTATTATTTATTTAACGCAATGAATATACATGGCCTGGAGAAACCTATAAAATAGAGCAAGCAATAAAAGATTGTTGCCCTACGTGTCAAGGCTAAGAAGAGAAACTAGGAAATACCATAGTGTTGAAGACTAAGGCTTTCCAAATATCCTAAGATTTGGAACCTTGTAGTCATGTTAAAGGAATTTAAAGGATAGTTCTGAGAAGAAATAGAACAAACTCTGTTCAGGATATGTGAGTAGCCAGAAGATATTTCACGGGAGTTGGGGAGACACAGAGAAATTCCAGAAGTAGTATGTCACGTACCCTTAAACAAAAGATTGTGGTTTATCTCAGTGAGAAGGGGAACAAGAATTCTACAAGATTAGACATCACAGAATCACAAGCTACCGAACTCATGCCATGGTGTAAAAGTCTGTGCTGTTTCCACTTTGAGAGGGAAGTATGGTAGAACCTATAGATGCAAGAGAATAAACTAAACTCCAGCTTTGTCCCATTCCATCATCACTCTAAGATCTTGGGCTTATTAACTTTCCTGACGCTTGGTTTTTGAAGTATTCAAAAGAGGTAGTAGCCATGAATAATTTGTTCAAGTCAACCTAACCATCGTGTTTCAGAGAGCTATAGATTGCAGTGCTCCTTCTTCGTGGCTTTGTGGCACTTGAGCCGAGGTTTTGCCACGATCGCCTTCGTAAGATATGGGAAGGATTCCAGCAAGTCTGGTTCTCAACACATCTTTGTGGGAAGGGACTGGGCTGTGCCCCAGCTTGTTCTCATCAAACCTCCATGCTGGGCTATTCATGATCAGGGTGCAACCTTGGGGCAGTTGTGGTCAGCGGGGCCTCTGATTGTCCTCTTGGACAATTCTTCCTCCTTGATGAAGTCATGGATTACCTCTTATGCTCTGCCTAGATATGAAGAAGATGTGAAAACGGAGTAAATTGCATACTCCAGGAAGTGATAAGTTTTACAATCATTGCATTAAAAAAGAAAACAACACTTGAAGGGACCGTTACTCCAGGGGCCAGCAGATAGTGTGGTGGTTAAAGTGCTAGACTCCCACATGCCAGCTATGGTTCAAGTCCCAGACCTGACACCTTGCTTTTTCACTTTCCCTCTCTTTCTGACTCTCTCTGGTCAAATACAAATAATAATAATAAATAAAGTTAAATAAATAATTCTTTTTTTAAAACAGGATTGCTCCTATTTCACCTATATTTGTTGAGTGTCTCCTATAAGCAAGTAAACAATTCAGCATGTCCATAGTCTTCAGAAATACTTTGAAACAGTAATTACCTAGTAGAAAATGGTTTTTATTGTTTTTAATACTTTCATTATAGAGAATATAATACTAAAACAGACTTTATGGAGATAATATAAGAACCAGAGCAAAATTTGCACTAAAATTCTAACTTATAAATATATTATTTTATCATATTCATTTTGTATCCCTAAAATGGACACTCCAAATAAATTACAAAAAAAAAAATTCTATTAAAAGTTTCTACTGGACCTTGGCTTAGTAACTGAACAAAAATTTCCTCCCTACTTTGTGGGAGAATGTAAGTTATGGAGTAATCTAAGTATCAAGTAAGAAAATAATGGAATACATTAAGAGGAATATTTAGCACTGTTGAATCACAAGTTGCCATTTTGAAGAAATATAAGTACAACATAATCATTTATCTCTCCAATTCTTCATTTTACTCTAAGTATTGTATATTAAATATTTATAATATTTCTTCACTAAATACAATTTAGATGACACCCAATGTAGTCTACTTAATAAGATTATAAAAAAATACCAAAGAAATTTTAAAAATCCCTATCTAGAAAAACAAAAGTAGGAACGGAAACTATCAAAATATACAGGTTGTAAGTGCCTAAATAATTGTGATTATTGAACTTCAAACTTAATCTAGTGCACCCTGTCAGTGTGGCAAATCTGTGTCAATAATTTTATACTTAAATTCTTCTTACTTTTATAATTAATACTAGGAAATGCATATAATAACACTAACATTTAATAACTATCCTTAGTTGATAGGATGTGGGTAGGGAGGGTGAAGAGAGAAAGATTATTTTGACAAATTAATATTCTTTTTTTAGTTCTATAACTATTGGGTCATCAGGAAAGTCATGACTCATTTTTGTATAGAAAAACATACCAAAATACATCATAACTTTCCCAGTGACCTATTAGCTCTTGGAAATAAATCAAAAAGTTACCTTTAAAAACATTTCGAAGTGAGTATTCTGAAAAATAAGGTTTGTTTAACCATGTTTTTTTCTAATTTTTATTTTTATTATTATTATTCATACATTTAATCACTATACATCATTTAGATTGTGAAGAGTCTTTACCCAGCATGATATACACCTCAGTCCAGCCCAGTTGAGATCATTAAACACATCCTCGTCAACAGATAATAAACCTTATCTGTGTCCCACAAGTGTCTTGCCTCTCCATTTTCCCTCCAAATTTCCTATGCTCTTCCTCCCCCCCAGCCTCTTTCCACTTTGTCTCTAGTGCCCATTACAATTTTTATATTATCCATATAATATTAAATTAGTGTAATAATATAATGCAATAATTACATAAAGATGTATGATTATATAATAATGGTATTATAATAATATTAAATTTTAAAGAAATAATAAATACCCAATATATGCAAGAAAGGTCTATTAAGAATTTTAAGATATGTATCAGACAAGTTATTTTAAACATCAGCAAGTTGATGCTACCAATAAATGTTTGCTTGTACAGAGATGTTCAAGTCCTTCTTTCACTCTGCCTTTAAAGGCATCCGGTAACCCAACTGAAGCAGGCTCTTCTAATCTAATCCCCAGGAAACTCCCGGGGGACTAGAATACCGTGTCAGGCAATATGACTCAGGACCATAAACATTCCTCCATCCCACTGTTCTTGCATTATGAAAAATAGTGCACGTGGGTTAGTGTCCTCTTGTTAAATGTAGTGGTTTTGAAAACATCTAACTTTCATTTCACACTTGGTTTCTTTCTCATCTGTAAAATGATTTATCAGATAGATTTACTTGTCTAAATATGCATTTTACCTGATTTTTTGAGGCAGGGAATATTATTGATATTGTGGAAGAAAATGATATAAAATTAGATTATAATGATTTTTCTCTGGGTCAAAAATTGTCTCAAGTCACAACTGTTTCTAGAAGTCATTAAAACAAAGGGAAAATGTGCACAAAGCATAACAGAGGAAAGAGCCATACATGTATCTTTATTTTATTGTTTATGTTTCTATTGTAACTTGTCTCTTAAAGATACATAATAATTCCATTTCCAAAATAAATATTTGCTAAAACAGAGGGAGAAAGATATCTCTGTATTTTGTTACCGTGGATAAATATTTTTCAGTCTTATGGTTTTGTTTCTGTTTTAAAATTTTACTCCTGGGGCCATCAGGTGGCATAATAGTTAAGATGCTGGACTCTCACACAGCCGACTGCAGTTCAAGTCTTGGATCTGGTGGCTTGAAATCATGCTGGGCACATGTGTGTGTGTGTGTGTGTGTGTGTGTGTGTGTGTGTGTACGCACCCAGAAGGAGAGAAGATTGTGCCTGGCCAAACCCCACTGGGTTATGATTTCTCACTTTCCCTCTTATTTTTCCCTCCCATTTTTTCTTTGCTCCCTATAGCAAAAGAAAAAAAAAACTTAAAAAAATTTTACTCCTTTTTTGAACTGTCTCAATTTGAACAAATATGACTGCATTTAATTCTCCCATCTGTGATCTTTTAGAAATAAAGACAGTATTTTACATAATTTCATCCATTAATGGTGCGTGTGTTTTCATGTGTGCAAGCCTGAGAAAATTGCCCTCAGGGATGGAATGTGTCCCCTCAACCCTCTTTAAGCGGCATGGCTTAGCTTGATCAAGTTACTGGGTGATTAATTTTACATGACAAGATAATGAATACTTTTTAAATTTGAAATTTGAAAAATAAAAAATTCAGTAAAGGAAACTGGACATAGAAGTTATCCAGATTGTTCATAAACTATTTGGGCAAATGGAATAAAGATTGTTCAAAATCATGAAATACCTAGCACCATATTAAGGCGTTTTAAACCACTTGATAAATTTAGTGATGGCTGTGGGGAATGTCGGCACCCCAGGAAGGAGGTAAGATGTATTTTGCACCCAGAGGAGGAATACTCCCTCATGGCTGGTACCACTGACAGTGCATCTTTGCAAACAGAACTTACTCAGGGACTGGGTACCTGGTTTGTAGATGTTCTAAGCCCATGCACTTTTGATTGAGTCCCTCATCATCTTTTCTTCCCTTCCCCAAATCACGGACAAGAATGACAGAAAGAAGGGCCTCAAACTTTCCTTTCTCCCTAATTTTTTGTTTGTTT